AAACCTTGTTTAAAATGATTCCGCTGGGAATTCTTATTTTGTTGTTTGAGGAGAAATCCGCTGGGGAACATACATTTTGACTCTTTGCTTGAGGAAACTCTGTGAGGAGTGTTGATTTCCGCATGGGGAATAGAGTTCAGGAGTTGTCCATTACTCTACTGGTGAATTATATTTGACTGGGGAGAGTGAAATTTAGCTGTTATCTGGTCGAAATACAGGCTTCGTAGCAACTTTCGACTTGCTGGGGGTAATAAAGTTAACTGTTATCTTGTCGGATTTCAGGCTTCACAACAACTTACTGGGGAAGATGAAATTAACTATTATCTGGTTGGATTCCAGGCTTCGCATAAAATTGAAGTTAAACTGTTATCTGGTCGGATTCCATGCTTCGTGGCAACTTAGATGAAATTAAACTGTTATCTGGTCAGATTCCAGGCTTCGCAGAAAATTGAAGTTAAACTGTTATCTGGTCGGATTCTAGGCTTCATAGAAAATTGAAGTTAAATTGTTATCTGGTAGGATTCCAGGCATTGCAGCAACTTAGATGAAATTAACTGTTATCTGGTCGGATTCCAGGTTTCGCATAAAATTAAAGTTAAACTGTTATCTGGTCGAATTTCAGGCTCCGCAACAACTTAGATGAAATTAACTGTTATCTAGTCGGATTCCAGGCTTCGCAAAAAATTGAAGTTAAACTGTTATCTGGTCGGATTCCAGGCTTCGCAGAAACTTAGATGAAATTAACTGTTATCTGGTCAGATTCCAGGTTTCGTAGAAAATCGAAGTTAAACTGTTATTTGTTCGGATTCCAGGGCAGCAACTTACTTGGAAGGATGAAGTTAACTGTTATCTGGTCGAATTTCAGGCTTCGCAGTAACTTGCTTGAGGTTGAAATTAAACTGTTATATGGTCAGATTCCAGGCTTCGCAGTAACTTACTGGGATAGTAACGACTCCGATGGGGAATGTAATGACTCTACCAGGGATTAAGGGGTTTTGTCCATTGATTTGTAATAGTCTAAGAGGCAAACTCGAGCTGGGGAATTTGCAGTTTGTTGGGGAAATAAACCCTGTTGAAGAGAATATTTTGACGACCTTCTGGGGAAGTGACTTCTTTAGGCAAACTCAGCTGAGGAGAGAGTTTTTGAGAGATTGGAAATTTGGCTGGGGATTGCATGAATCCGTCTCTGTGGGGATAATCTTATTGAAGTATCTTTGTGGGGATATTCCAAATCCTTAAGGAGATGCTTGTTACTGTTTTTTATATATACATTTGTTAACAGTTTAACCATGTTCATGTGCATATGTTCATTCAATTTTAGTCATTGGACACTTTTGCACTCAAGACAGAAAAAACAAAGATTTTTCACTTCAAAGTATATTTGTATTGATGTTTTCCTATAAATAGGTGTTTTTGTACAAGGAGACAGAGATCCTAGTAAGAGGAAATCATCGAAAGAATGAAAGGAATACAAAATGAAAACACAAATAATATCCATATGGAAGCGATCTTATTGGGTTCCAAATCCGCTATTGCCCCTATGTCTTCGAACATTGTCTCTTGCCATTGAAAGAGGTCGATTGAATTGATCTTGGACCATTGAAATTGGACCTTGGTAATAAAGTTGGCTGCAGAGATCTAACGGGACATAGTCGTATGCTTTAATCCCTAACTTTTGCCTGGACCGTCCTTTCGGGTTTTCAGTCCACCAAGATACCCATTTTTTTCCAAGACGCCCTTTCAGGTTTTTGACTTATCGGATGTACAATCTTTTGTATATATCCCTAACTTTTGCCCGAACCCTTTTGATTCACCGGGATGCCCTTATTTTTGCCTAGGTATGTCAACCTAGCGGGTCATTCTTTACGCGTAGTATTTTTGACTATGTCCGCGTTCACAGGATGTGGGAAATCTTCGCCATCCATAATTGTTAGCACCATGGCACCACCAGAGAATACTTTCTTGACAACAAATGGTCCTTCGTAAGTGGGAGTCCATTTGCCCCTGGGATCGCCTTGTGGCAAAATGATGCGCTTTATTACCAAATCACCAGCTTGGTATATTCGAGGTTTGATCTTTTTGTTGAAAGCCTTGATCATATATTTTTGATACATTTGACCATGACAAACAGCAGCCGGTCTTTTCTTGTCGATCAAGTTTAACTGATCCAATCTAGTCTGAATCCATTCGTCTTCGCCTAAGTCTGCTTCTTTCATAATCCTTAGAGAAGGAATCTGAACTTCGACAGGCAGGACAACTTCCATGCCATAGACCAAGGAGAACGGGATTGCCCCAGTTGATGTTCGTGCTGAAGTACGGTAACTATGAAGAGTAAACGGTAACATTTCGTACCAGTCTTTGTAAGTTACCACCATCTTTTGCACAATCTTCTTTATATTTTTATTGGCGGCTTCCACTACGCCATTTATCTTAGGTTTGTATGGAGAAGAGTTGTGATGTTTGACTTTGAACTGAGTGCAGAGTTCAGTAATCATAGCATTATGGAGATTGATTCCATTGTTAGTGATGATCCTTTCGGGGATACCATAACAGTAGATGAGGTTATGCTTGATAAACTGGGCTATAACATTCTTTGTGATTGAGTCATTTACCTTATATGTTATCTCATAATTATCTCTATCACTTATAACTACTAGATGATATTTAACACACTTAAGATTAGACTAAATAACTTGTAACACACTTAACTTTTTTATTTTTCCTTTTCCACAACGGTAACTACAACGACCATTTTACAAAATTACCTTTATAAATACTTCAACTTTTTTCATAACTTTCACATCATTACCAAAATATTTATCCATATTTTTCAAATGGCTAAATTTCTTATTCTGGTCATCACTCTGCTCGTCATTATTTTGTTTCTTATGGGTATTATCAAACGTGAAGAATTAGGTAATGATTCTGTAATTTGATGATAGTTATCATCTAACCATTACTAGCCATAGCTTGGTTTATTAGTAGAGGTTTTTGAATAATATGTAGTCATGGATTTTGTAATTGAATAAATTGATTTTTTTTATGTATTAAATATTGATTATGTTCATCTGAATTATAGATATAATCATATCAAATCTTAAGCATCAATTCAAAATTCTAAGCATATAACTGGGAACAACTTCATAACCTGGAACACCAATCTAATTAAGTACCTTACATGTGAGGGACTTAACAAAATACTTGAAGGAGACAATTCTGGAAAATCAACAGAGATGAGATGGAAAAGAAAAAGTCAAAAGCGAACAGAATAATCAAGCACCATCTTGATGATGGATTGCAAACAAAATATTCAAATGCTAAAGATCCCAAGATTTTGGGGGACAAAATTAAAGCAAGATTTGGATATCAGAAAAAAAAATCTTGTTACCCTCATTAATGGATCAATGGAACAAGTTAAAGTTCTAAGATTACAAAAGTGTCATTGCATATAACTATGTTATGCACCAGATTATAGCACAACTGGAATTTTGTGGTACAATTATAAATGAAAAAGAAAAATTAGAATTTTTTTTCCAACTTTTCATGCATCCTAGGTATTATTGCAACAACAATATAGAATGAGGGAATTTACTGAATATTCTGATTTAGTTGCAGCCCTTCTAGTGGCAGAACAAAATAACGAGCTCTTTATAAAAAACCAACAGTCACGACCCACAGAAACAATAACATATCCTGAAATTAATGCCACAACCTTTAATCGTGGGCGTGGTGGCTTTAATCGTCTCAAGAGGCGTGGTGGTCATGCTCGTTTTGATGGTAATAATGGTCATGCTCGTTTTGATGGCCACACTCAAAGAGGATATCATGGTCGAAACCTTTTCCACGGTCGAAACTATTTTCGTGGTAGAGGATGTGGACGAGGTCATATGAATAATTTTAGATCTCCCAGATATGATCAAAATAATTGGAATCGCCGAGGAAAGGGTAAGTATACCCAAGAAGGTCCCTCAAGAAATTATGAAGATGTATGCTTCAGATGCGGAAAGAAAAGACACTGGACTAAGGCATGTGGAACACCAGATCATTTGTGTAAAAGACAAATGACATATGTAGAAGAAAAAGGAAAAAAATATGAATTTTAATAAGATTGAACTCAGAAATGATAATACCTATTTTGAGATTGTTGACTTCGTTGAAGGAACAATGGGATTAAATAACTATTTGAATAGCGAGTGATATGTTTGTATTAATTTTATATTTGGACTATGTATCAACTTAATAATTTGTATGTTATTTTGTGTATCTTATGTTTGCATGAAATAATCTTAAATATGTTTTTGATTTACTTTTATTTAATCTTATTTCTATTTTAAGAAGGTTAGACATGAAACATGTCAAAGATATTTACATTTCGGACATTGGAATTACCCACACAATCCTCAAAAGTAAGAAATATTTTACTAAAATAAATCGTACTAAATGTGTAATAAATACAATCTCAAATCCTACAAATTTGATTGAAGAAACAAATAATACTATATTTATATTACCAAATGGGACAAAGTTTGTCATTAATAAAGCTTTATAGTCTCCAAAATCATGATGGAATCTTTACTTGTTTGAAGTCATGAGTGCTTGTAATTCCACTATACACTCTTGAGGGTGCAAGTGGAGTTATATGATATTGATGAGAAGAATTTTGAGGATATGTGGAGGAATTTTTTCCATATGAATTTACTTTAAGTATATTAACGCGTAGTTTTCCTCATGCTTACTGACAAATGCACAGTTCTTAGGGTCACAAAGCTGTGCTTGAAAACATAAGTAAACACTAAAATCATATTCATATATAATTTGCCTAAGCAGAAGAGTGTTTCTATCAAATCCTACAATGCTTGTAGTTATACAAGGCAAACTTGTGCCTTCAATAACTTGACAGCAGAATTATTATTACATTAGATGAAATTGTTTTAGATTCTGCTAATATAACTAGTCGTACACATTTTAACTAGTTTACCAGTTAATTGCTGTTGTGCTTTTTATGTTCTGAAGAATTCGTTCAAGTTGTCAGCATCGATACGCTCTAATATCCGACGTGCTTCTTCTTCTGTTGCCGGTACTACATTTCGAAGTTTGAATCCATTTTTCACTGCCTTTGCCTCTGGACGGACGGTGAATGAGAAATGGAAAGTATTTGATACCTGTGTTCATATGATACACGAGAATCAAAAATAAGAAAAGTTTTCAAATTAAGTGCAGCTGTTAGACTAATGAGTAATGAAATATCAATTAGACTAACCTCGCTAGTTCGCAGCTCGGGTCTTGTAACGTGAGCAACAACTTCAACATTGATAAGTGGCTGATCAGGGTCGTGAAGTTCAGTGTACAGAACGCAGGACTTGAGACGCAAGAAATCGCCCACGTCAACCTGTGCACTTGTTAATTTAAAAAAGTTATGCAAGTTGTGCATATAATACAGAACCGTTTACGAATGAAAGAAGAAAAATACTCACAGGTCTGAGGAAATCAACATGATCAACTTCTAGAAAGTAAGGAACTAATCCAGCAAAAGCATAAGCTGTCGAGAAAGCCAACTCAAACGCGCGATTCATCAAGAAACCTCCAAATATTCTACCATGGATGTTCCTTTGTTGTGGCTGGCATAATAAGGAATTCTCAAGGCTGGTATCCCTTAGAAGAATGCTGTCTCGGTCGGCTAAAGCTGGCATATCACAGAAAATTCTTCCCTCAGCCAATAGATCTTTAAGTTTATTTTCTTCACCGTTATCGAGATCTTTCTTTTCTCCTCCTCTTTTCCTTTTTTTCAAATTGTTTCTTGCTTCAGCTTGTTCATAAAGAAGTTTTTCGCGATCAGTTTCTGGTGAAAGTCGATTCACAGGGGCAGCCTTCCCAGTCTTTGAGTCTCGAGCAACAAATATGAAGTTTGCTGTTAGTACTACCAAATCTGAATCACCTTCCTCTGCATGAATTACAATGACACACACATAAGTTGTCGACCAAGTGTGGCTTAACATTTAAGACTTATGTAACACTTGCACTCTAGAAATTCACACGACAAATGACATCAACACGTGCTTATTTCGTTCAATTGTTTTGATTTTCTTTTAATTTTCTCAGCTTATTATCGGGATCGATGTATCAATGTCGTGTCCGATATCCTTGTCTATGTCAGTGCTTCATACAAATTTTAGATGATAAAATTATGAGAATCTAATGAAATTGTTAATGAAATAAAAATGGAATTCTTCCATTATGAAGGTTTATGCAGCATGACAAACACCATGAGCGTACGTTTGGTTTCATGTTTGGAGCACCCAAAATTGATTATGAGTGTGTAAAATTGATTTTGACATGTTTGGTTGCTACCAGTAAAATTGATTATGTTGTTCATAATTGAGTCTACTTGAAGCTAGGGTTCTTAGCTATTGAGTCTAAAAGTGATTTTTACATTGAAATTTCCTGTTCAACTCATTTTTGCAGGAGTTTATTCAAACATAAAATCACTTTACATTCAACTCACTTTTAGCCTGAATCAGTTTTACACAATCAATTCATTCGAACGCAAAACCAAACACAAGCAGACAAATTGAGAAACTAAACTAGTTTTAAGTTTGGACATGTGAATTACAAATGTAAGTTATGTGTGAGACGGAGCCTTAAGAAATGTACCTTTTTTGGATTGAGTAACCTCAAGTTGAATTTCTATGGAGGAGCGTCCAACCCATATAACAGAACCAACAATTGTAAGATCAATGTTAACACTAATCGGCTTCTTTAGCACAATCTTATCAACAGAAGCAGTAACAAGTATAAGTGGCCTTGTTGTGCTATCTTCATCAGAACAATGCTGTTCCACAACACATAGAAAAGAACGTAATAAAAACCTATAACAACAATACCCATATAACAAACTCCTAGAAAAACCTAAAAAATATTCAAAAAACGGAAACTTTGAAATGTTACCTTAACAGAAATGGTTCCAGCCAAAGCATCAAGATCTTCAAGCAACTTGCCAATTCTGACATCATTCCAAGGATCTCTATATTGTTCTCTAAGAACAAAATCAGATGAAAAATTGTACAGAATACCGGTCCTACTCTGTGAAGGTGTTCTAGTAACCAATTCACTTTGTGGAGGAGCATCTCTTGGTGGGTCAAGAAGTCTCTCGAAGGTTTTGGTCCTTGCTTCCCAAAGAGCAGTGGTGACTGGAGAATGGTACATCCCCGGCCATAAAGCTATGTGTTTCCGGTCACCGGAAGCGTTGGAGGGGAGAGGGTTTTCGAAAGGGGTTGTGGTTGCAACGAAGGTGGAAGAAACAGGGATTGTTCCATTCACGGAGATGGCGTAGGTAGGGTTGTTGGAAGGAGAGAAATTCAAATCCATTGGTTTGGTTTTTAGGTTTTGTGAATGATTTTAGGTTCTGAAACAAAACCTGATGAGAGTGTTGTGTTTTTTTAATAATGAAAATAGAAACATGTGTGTTGTGTTGTGTGGTGATGTTTTCTGTTATTATTAGATCATCCACGCAAACCTAGCAGCTATTAATATTATGGGTAAAATTTAGTTATGGTACCAACTACTATACTGTTCATATTACTTTCGATGAAAACTTAACAGCATTATTTTTTCGATGAAATCTTGAGGAATTCATATGAAACATGGGAAAATGATGTGGATAGCACAAAACTCAATTTCTATCCATAGAGCACTTACATCTACTTACGTTAATGCCACCCCTAAATTTATATATATGTTACGTCTGAAATTTCATAAGGCCAGAATATTTCTGGTGATAATATAGAAGAGTGTTCTGAATTAAATTTTTAGTAGAATATTGATATTTCTAATAGTTCAAAATAAAAATTTCGATATATTACAAATAATTTTGGAAATTTTAACATTTTTGATAATATGCCGGAAATTTTGTTACATTTGAAATTTCTGATAGGTTATAAAAAACTATTAAGTTTTATCCAACAGTTATGATTTTGTCGGCAGTTTTGTAGGGTTGTAATTGCACCGATAATTTTGTGTGGGTCAGAATGCACCGAAAGTTGTATAAATAGGGGTCACATGTTATTGAAAAGTAATCAGAATCGCAAAATGTCTCTTCCTTAGTTTTTGGTTGACGTAGCTTTACTAGAGCACAAGATCCTGTGAAATTTCGGATTCTGAACGAGTTTCTGGTCCTCGAGTCACTAACGAAAAAGTTGGAAGAATTGTTGTCTGATACTGATAATAGAAGGGTGAGGAAGATTTCATACCATGAAAATTTAAACATGGATGTTGACGGAAAGGTTAGTTACAACGTTGTTGAGTTGGAGAGCGATGAAGATATGAAGGCCATGTGGAAATCATACCGCCGTAGGCTAACTAAGGGGTCGTTGGAATTGGAAGCGCGACTTGCCAAATATGTCGACGACGTAATTAAGATGTTGGAACGTCCAGAATCATCATGTAGTTTCTGGGTTTTTATGTTTTAAGTTATGTATATTATTATGTTTTAAGCTATGAGTTATGTTATGCTTAAAGTTATGTTGGTGTGCGAAAGATGTAATACTCTAAACGAAGTGATAATAAAAGTTCAGTGCTAATAACAAGTTTGTGTCAAAATGATAAATATAATACAACAATAACAAAAAAAACTACAGAGGCCCCCATCAGCTATGTGTTCTGCTCGCGCTAAGCCTGTTTAAACCTCACCATCAATAGGAAGCAATCATCTGGAGACGCTCCTGGTCATATGTGTCGGGGGGGAGATGGCGGTGGCACACCATCATCAATAGGAACATGAGTCTCAGAAATCCCGACATCTGAATGGTCATCCGTATGTGGGATGATGCGAGGGTGGGACATTGTGAGGTACAACTCCATGTATCCATCCTCACACTGTGACCCCTCCTGAATCCTCACCGCTCTCTCGGTAATGGCACGGGCTGAGCTGAGGATGTTACTCTGAAATCATCTGCCAATACCAATTCCACCACCACGAATGCTTGGAATAGGCCGTGGGATGCCCTGGACATACTCATATTGCCACAGACACCTCTCGGGAAGGTGTCTAGCCACCATGCTCTCCCACATCAAATGACCTGAAAACAAAGAACTCAAATCAAACGGACAATGGGCCTTGTGACCATCGTATGGTGTCCAGATGACATCTTCAATTGTCAAGGCATCCAGCCTCCTCTTGTACTCCAACAATCCTCCTGAATGTGCATGTATGGTCCTCCATCTCCTCGCATGTGGTGCATCTTCTGTGACACGCTGCTCCCTCCTGTCAACGGTACGGGGAAGTGCTCGTATATCCAACACTAATAACATAAAACAAATATAATAATTAATAAACAAGAAATTTCGCAACTAAATGTCACAACTAACATTTAAATAACTACTAAAAATAATGTGACCACATACCTGGAGTAGACTCAAATATCCATAAATCTACTTTGTCTCAAAGACAATCGCAACTCCTAACACAGTATAGAGAACGATCAATGCACAACACCCCAAGCCTAGTTACCATGGTCAAGATCACATAACAACCATACATAACGAGCATCAATATAATTATGAGAATTGTCCGCAAGAACGGTACACGCTACTAGATATAGCATGTATGCCCTAGCGGCAACCTCATTCATCTCTGCCAGCACAAACTCATCGTACCTCTCCCGGAGCCAAGACAACAAAAGTGAAGACTCCTATTTTAGCCAAACTCCTTAATAACATCATCATCAGTCAGTCCCATATCATGTACGATCACCGTCACAATATCCAACTCGCTAATAATAGTAGTGGTGAAAAATAACCCACCAATGGGGAGATGGAACAACACAGAGACGTCATCCAAAGTAGTTGTCATCTCCCCAAATGGAAGATGAAAGGAAGATGTCTCTGAGTGCCACCAGTCAATGAAAGCAGACAGGAGGGGAGTGTCTAGCATGGTCAACGAGCAGTCAGTCATGTCAAAGAGACCGAAATCCTGAACAATAGTCCTAACTCGCTCAGACATCTCAGTATGTGACCAGTCCTTCAACTTGGCCACGTGGGATGTCACTTTCAGTGGGAAACGATCCTATAACAAACAAAATTTGAAAAATCAACGGATTTTCAATAATAAATCATAAATAAGTTAAACTTCAACACATACACATACACACACACACACATACACACACACACACACACACGCACACACACACACACACACACACACACACACACACACACACACACACACACACACACACACACACATATATATATATCTAATGATTGAGATTAAAAGATATTTTTAAATTTTGATTAATGATTTTTCTTTCTTCTTAATGACACATGATTTAGTGTAGATCGCAATTTAATCTCAACCTTTCCTTTTTAAATCTGATCATTATTATTCATTCTCACATTCTCATATAAGTTATTCATTCTCACTAGATATGCCCTATACCTCTCCCTGCCATAAACGGTAAGCAACATGGTTGGCATAGTTTGTGAGCACAGACTTGTCACTCTGTCCTCCTGGGAACGCTTCACTGGTGTGAATAGATGCCTTTGTAGAAGCACATGTTGTAGCATTTGTATCACTCGGAGTCTCCTCATGACTAGGAACCTCCTCCACGGGTACCTAAACATCAGCAGGAGGAAACTCAACATCAACAGTAGGCAACTCAACAGTCTAAGGAGGCACCTCAATAGTATAAGGAGCGGGTAGAGCCGACAAAATGGGTCGTACTAACCGGGCCAGCCTGAAAGTCCATAAAAATTTCCGGGCTTGAACACAATATTGAGTCGCTTATTATTCGAGTTTTTAAACCCGTCCCATTAAAAGCCCGAAGTCTAACTGGGCTAGCCCGACCAGGTTGCGGGTAGCCCGCTTATTTTATTTAACTTTTTTTATTACATAAATTTTAACATACTCTACTAATAACGCCCTTATTTTTTTAAATACACTATAGTAATATTTAATTTTTCACACTAATCTCAGTTAAAGAATTAGTTTATATAGATCAAAGACTCATTTGATTTATTTTAAATATTGAATATCATTGACATGAATTTAATTCTTTTCTATATTTTATAGTTAATAAATTATCATGTACAAAGTAATTTTATTGAAGTTTAATTCTTAAATCAAATAGGATGAGTAGTTCTTTACACTTGAATCTTGATCATTTGATTGAAATAGTATATTTATGTGATGGTTTATCTTAGATGTTATATATATGTAGTTGAAATATATATATTTTTATATTCAATATTCATATCTATTTTAGTTTTTACTATATAGTATATTAATTTTTTAATTTTTTATTTTAAAAATAAATATTAAATATAATTCGGACCAACCCGAAACGGAAACCCATGAAGGGACGGGCTTGGACAACTTAACTTTAGCCCATTTAAATTTCGAGCTTTTAAGCTCGGCCTGTTAAAGGCCTGAGCTCGTCACAGGCTGGCCCGAAGCGGGCCGGGTAGCCCGAATTTCCAGCTCTATGAGCGGGCACCACTACATCAGCATGTACCTCCACAATAACAGGTACTCCCACAACAATAGGTACCTCGTCAGCAACAACCTCAGTACCAGCTCGACGTCTGGATGCATGAAATCGATCTTGCGCCTGCTCAGCCATCTATTTTTGGTGTGAACCAGTCAGAGCAACTCGTCCAACCCGAAGCTAGGATGCCTCTGCTTGCTCAGTCCTGGCCTGGGCGGCAACTCTGTCAGTCCTTCTGCCTCTAATGGTCCCATATTTCACCAAGATCCTCACTAAAAAAATAGAAAAAACGAAAAATTTAGAAAAAAAACAAAAAATGGTAACTACCAGAAGTTGGTAAATTTTCGAAAAATTTCAAAAACATTGGACAAACCAGAAATTTCGAAATATCTGGTAGATATTAACGTAAATTTTCAAAATTTTCGATATAGTATATCAGAAAAGTCTAAAATTTCTGGTAAAAAACATACTTGTTCAACATAATTTCTGGTATCAGCTGTAGAATTCCGGTATCGTCTGAAGAATTTCCGGTAACACAATTTTTTTTCAAAAAAGACGATATCCAGAAGAATGTAGAGACACCTTTCTCTGAACAAACACATAATGAGAAGGTATATGATAAACAAAGTGCAGAAAAGTAAAGAATACACATGATTGTTAACCCAGTTCGGTGTACACCTACACCTACTATGGGGGCTACCAAGCCAGGGATCAAGTTAACTAAAATAATATCAATTTGAAGCTAAACTCCCCATTTACAACTTCTCACTTAATCACTACCCTTGCTCAACTTCTACCTAAGACTCACCTAGGAGGTATCAGACCCTTCTAAAATCCCTTACAATCACAACCCAATAACTGACCAATTCTAACACTTAGAAA